GGGGGTTTAATCGACAACTCTACTGTGAGTTATGGCCAACTCCAAGTGATCCACATGTTTGAAAACTCGGATTGTATAGACCGCCCCTCTATCGTGCTCCTACTAAAATACAAGTCCTCTTGTCAGTGGCAGGGTTTGAACTAGAGATGCGTCTTTCCACACATCCTACGTTGCATCTAGGGGTGACAAACTGGCGGGTCGGGTCGGATGTGGGTGGGTCGAAAACGTGTAATGCAAAACGAATAAATTATCTGCCCGACCCATATTTAATACGGACATAAAAGACGGGTTAAACTGTGGATAATATGAATATCCATATTATCCACGACTTCCTGAATATGATCACTTTTGGGAGAATTTCTACTCTCCCAAACTTGAGGAACCTCCAATTTGAGGCTTTATAAATGAAAAGTTGAACCCATTGGTTAACCATTTTCTAAGTGGATAATATGGTTCTTATCCATATTTGACCCGTTTTTAAAAAGTCCATTATCCAACCCACTTTTTAATGGATAATATGGGTGGATAACTGTTTTCTTTTAACTATTTTGCCACAACTAGTTGCATCCTTACCAATAAATTAAAGCCCTGGGGCAGAGATTGGGGTACATTTATTTAGATGCTTATGTTGATAAGCAAGGAGAGATCTTAGAGAACATAAATGATTTTCCGTAGATACTTGATATAGGAACTATATGTTAGAGCATTTATGAGTTTTTTTTTTTCTTAGAGCATGTATGAGTTTATGTGCAGTAAAATGTCAAATAGCCTCAAGTCAATTGTTGTTACACGAAATGCACCGCACTAATCGAGGAGAAGAGGAGACAGGAGAAGATAGAATACTCACCACCTTCAAGAGGGACACAGTCTGGACACAAGAATGTGGCATTGAACTCTTTCTCCTTGAAATGAATATACTTCCCATCAGTTCTAGTAAAATCAGAGGCACAGAACTCCCACTCATCAAATACATCATCAGGCTTTATAAATGAGTCTTTCTCGTATATCCCGCATCGTTTGCACTTTTTTTCTTCGAGTTCTGTCAGAGGCTAAAAACATAAAAATGCAACATCATCAGCTTCCGAAAGAAGATGTCTTATGCCAAGCACATAAGATCAGCAAACTTGTAAACTTCTAAAAGAACAGAGATAGACAAGCTTGCAAGCTGCTTCAGAAACCTTCCAAGTTATGACATCCCACCCCAAAAAGAATAATAATTATAATAAAAAGAGTAAAAGGAAAGGAAACTAAACAGTTGACCATCTAAAGCTTTTTTTGACAAGAAAGAGAACTTGCAACCAGGATGCAGAGCAGTGTATACAATCTTTCTTTTCATAATTTCCTTCCAAGTCTTACTCCATGATACATAGGAGTACTCATGGTAAAGTCAGACACTAATCAGTAAGTTACAAGCCTACCTCATATGTGTGGCAGTCCGGCAGAAGAGACTCCTATCCTTAACTAACGATGGTGTTTTGTTTGCTTTTGTGCATCAATGGAAGAATTTAAAATTGTCTTCCATGGGAGACGGTTCCACTTTGTAATGTTCTCTTCCGTATTCACCCACGCACTAGCAATGTCATATCATTCCAAGAGATCTTTTGGTAGATATATGTAAACAATTTGAAAGTTTATCCATTTACTATTATGGTAGAGTAGGTAATGGTTATTGCCTTCATGCACAGCTATGCGCCTATGCCTAGGTTAAAACCAAGAAATTCCACCTCCAGAAACCCCTCTTTACCATCTCCCAACTTCACCTACCAATACCATTGCCACCGCCCACCAGTACAGCTCCCAGGCAACTCATCTCCCAACAACTGTCCCCTGTCAATTAGCACTTCTCTTTCCAGGCCTGCAAATGCCCTCGATATGCTTCCCATCATGCAATGCCAACATCTCATCCCCCGCTCTCTCTTATTTCCCTTCCACCATTAACTTTAGCTTAAGATTCTTGGAAATACTTCCATCATGAAACAATGGAAAACCTTTAAGCCTAATCCCAACTTCTCCTTCAAGGAGAAAAACAAAGGTAAAGAGAACCAAACAAGTGAACTCCCCATAACCACATCAGCCCAACTAAACCAATGTTATCAAGCACTTTGTAAGAAGAAATGACTACAATCAACTGAGAGGTGGAATACTGAGACATCTCAGCTGAAGAAGAATGACTTTCTGTAGAGACGAGGTCTACATTGGAATCTGCTTCTACGACAGACCTTTTCCTCCTCAATGAGGGGTAAGAGACTAGTAACCCTTCCAGATTAGCTGATACAGAGTCTTGAAGAAAATATCTCTGGAGGTAACCACAACTAAAAGGGGCAATTACTACTAAAATAATTTAACCTTCTAGGTAGACATTGATGAACTTTTTTTTCTGAAACTGTACATCAAAATAGAACTTGACTTGCTCAGTTCTGATTGACAGAGTTGACCTGAAGGAAGAAAAAAGAGGATTTTGCTAGAGCACATTTTATAGATAGTTAGAAAATTTCTTGTTTTAGCTTTTCCTGTTCTCAAAATGAATTTAAGCAGGAGAAAATTGTAGTAATTGGCAAATGGCATTGTTACATAAAGGGGCAATTACAGAGTCTTGAAGAAAAATATCTCTGGAGGTAACCTCAACTAAAAGGGGCAATTACTACTAAAATAATTTAACCTTCTAGGTAGACATTGATGAACTTTTTTTCCTGAAACTGTACATCTAAATAGAACTTGACTTGCTCAGTTCTGATTGGCAGAGTTTACCTGAAGGAAGAAAAAAGAGGATTTTGCTAGAGCACATTTTATAGATAGTTAGAAAATTTCTTGTTTTAGCTTTTCCTGTTCTCAAAATGAATTTAAGCAGGAGCAAATTGTAGTTTTCGCAAATGGCATTGTTCCATAAAGGGAATAAGTTTGAAAAGATACATCTGATTATATTCCACTTCTCTTTGAAATTATACAAAAAATAACTTCAAGAGAATAAGATAGATGGAAATATGATAAACCAACAATTTCGCAAGTGTACTTAAGAAATCATTTACTTTAAGGGTAGTTCATGCGGTGGAAGGGATTGGTAGGGAGATGTAGGAGATTGAAAGCGCGTCGTCCCTCGATTCAGGGATCAGTAGCACCTTCTTTGGTCGATAGAGGGTATGAATGGAGCTTACAGGAGTTCGTGCATTGGATTCCGTGCACGAACTCAGTAGAATAACAAAGTCGGCTTTATTATTCTCTAATGTGTTTTATAATTCTATTTTGGCATAATAGCAAAGTCAGCTTAACTCCCAGTGTGCAAAGCATAGCCGATCTCAAGTCCAAACAAAAGAGAAGGTTGTTATAGGGTGACGATCAACAGAAGTGGATCTACAGTGTAACAGTTTAATTGAACTCATTGGTTTCGTCTTAGACCCTCTATATATGCGTTAAAAACACAATAGGATAAAGAAATGAACCTTGGGCCTAACTCAACCCCAAAACCTAGTTCACGAGGTCAAGATTGCCCAAGCCATATAAGGAGACCAAGTCCCCCGTCTCTATCCAATGTAGAAGAATAACACCCCCGCACACCCAGGCCTACCAACTGGGGCATGGACAATATATTATGGCGGCCCACATCGATGAAACAAAGAATTGGATCAGTCCGGCTCTGATACCATGATAAAGAAATGAACATTGGGCCTCAACCTCAGAAGCTCGCCCATGTGGTGAGGATTACTTTCAGAGGCGGATCTAGGATTTTGATTCTATGGGTTCAATATTTGAAGTTTTAGCATTGAACCCATTAAATTTTAAAGTTATGGGTTCATATCTACTATTTATTGTAAATTTAGTGATTTTTACATATAAATTTATACTCCGCACCAAAAGCACTGGGTTCAGTTGAACCCGGTATATATATGCTGCATCCGCCCCTCATTACCTAAGCCATACAAGGAGACCAAGTCCTCCAATCCTATCCAATGTGGGAGACTCAACACCCTAGATATGTACAAATGACATGTTCTGGACCCAGAAATTCAAATGAATTGTGGGTTCAGAAAATCCCAAATATGCCGTTCAAATCATGGATCCGCCTCTGACGGTCAGCTTAAAAATTGCCAAAATTCGAGATTGAGGTGTAGTTAGTTGATTGACTAAACATGAAAAAAGTCAATAGTTTCACAGATGGCTTCACGTTAATGAGGTAAAAAATTAATATTTTTCCAAACAAAGCAAAATTTACAAGGCAACTGCATAACTTTTTCAATTGAGAAATGCTGTAACTAATTTCAGAAACCGAGAAAGTATACAGTAGTTATATACCTGCCAAGACTCTTCGCCCTTAAAGGTATACAGCTCATGTTTCTTCTTCACATCAGGCAAATTTGTTCTATTTTCACCTTTACACTCAAAATAAACTTCCGGTGTCGATCCTAACAATTCATGAGTATTATATATTTCGATCGAATCTAGAGTAACAATCGCAGCTATAATCAATCCTGAAGCAAAACAAAAACACAAGGTTCATTCATTTAGCCATCAATTAGTTCAGTATAATCATAAAATCGATTCATTTATTCAGAAATCAGCTACTTTCCGAGTTTTTCATGAAAATTACCTGGAAGCGAGATGAGAAGAATAGAACTATAGAAGAGCAAAAGGAGAGGAGGAACCCTAGGCTTTAAGCGACGACGCATCGCTGTAAATATTTTGATTTTGCTTGCTTTTTGTGCAAGGAATTTGCGTAATATGCGGGTCTCGTTGATCGAAGACGACGATGGAGAAACGCGGGGATGTTGGGGGCTTCTGGAAAGTTCTTCGCTTGCGGAATGCGAATAGACTAGCAGTTGGCGCTTTTGGTTTCCTGAGCGGAGCAAAGCTTCTGTTTGAAGACCTGGTAAGAGCTAATTTGGCGAGCTTAATCAATCTAATGCTTATCTTAGTCCCAACTCCTAATGTTACTTATGGAGCAATATTTATCTTTATCGAGGTGTGTTGGTGTCACGACCCGTAATTTCCACTATGATGTTGCCTAACATTTCACTCCTAGTCTAGTCAACGTTAGATATAGTTATTAATCATTTTTAACAATTCAAATTAAATAAAAACTAATAAGTTGAATAAACTGAAATATAGTAAATAAACTAATAAATGGCGACATCCAAATACAATCCCAAAACTGGTGTCACGAATACACGAGCGTCTAGAGTACTACAAATAATAGTCTTAATAAAAACATAAGTGTCTGAATCGAAATTAACAACTAAGGTGATGTAGAAGGGGACTTCAGGGCTGCGAACACTATGCAGTTGTACCTCAAGTCTCCGTCAAGAACTCGATCCGAGCAAATCTACTAAACGCCGCTAGGACCCATTCCGAAATATGCACAAGAAATGGAGACTGTAGTATGATTACAAAAGACCCCATATACTTTGTAAGTACCGAGCATAACCTCGACGAAGTAGTGACGAGGCTAAAGCATGCCACTTACAATAATATGTACGCAGTAATAATAATAATAACAGGGAAAGAAGACAGAAATAAAAGTAAAGCAGTTAATTTATGAAAATGAACTCAACCTTACAACCAAAGAACCTAGAATAATTGATCTCGTAACTTCATATAAAAATGCTGAAAACTAAACAATAACAACAACTAGTACAACACAAACAATCTGTTGCGGCGCGCAACCCGATCCCACTGTACACACACAATCCTCCCTTATTTCACCATAGTATCATTTAGCAATATCAGAAATCACGTATACAATCTGTTGCGGTGCTCAACCCGATCCCATCTTATCATCATAATCAATGTCATAATCCTCCCTTATACCATATTATCAATTATCAATATCAAGTATTACATACACAATAGTTGCGGTGCACAACCCGATCTCACTATATCATTAGAATCAATGTCGTAATCCTCCATTAGCCCACCACATCACAATTGTTGCGGCGCGAAACCCGATCCACAAATAATTTCAATAAACGTAATCAATCCAATAGCTCAATTTACAAGAATCTCTAACATCAAAGGATATGAAAGCAAAGCGATAAAGGAACCACGTACTAATCAAAGGAATACTACAAATAATATAAAAGCAACAAGACAAGTCAAGACGTGACAATTAAGGTGTGCAAGTAAGGCAATTAAGGCAAATAGAAATTAATCACAGAATTATGGAAGGGACGAACAATTCAATACAGGAATAATTAATGACAAGTAACAAATTACAGCATAGAAAGCAATTAAAGCATATAACATTTAAGGCATGGGATGAGATAATTCATGAAATACGAGAAGGCATGGAAACAATTATTTCGACGGCGTATATACACTCGTTACCTTGCATATATATCGTTATACACGTAATTCACATAATATATAACTTAAGGGTTCCTAATTCCCTCAAATCAAGGTTAGACCCAATACTTACCTCGCTCCGCAATCAAGTCAAAGTTCAATCGGGGCCTTTTCTCTAAATTTCGCCTCCAAACCAATCGAATCTAACCAAAATCGACTTAATATCATCAAACAATTCTAGAGTAATCAATTACAATAGATAAAGCAAAGATCTTTACACTTTTCTTAAAAAGTCAACAAAAGTCAACATGGGGCCTATCCGATAAAAACCCAGGCCTAAAGGTAGATTCCGACTATCCATGACCCCACGAGTTCATATATGTGATTAGTTTCAACAATCGAGTCCAAATAGACTCTCAAAACTCAATTTCTTATTTTTCAAAAACTTGACAAGGTTTCACAAATTTTCACTTTGATTCACACGATTTTGATGTTAAAATCTAAGATAAATTGATGGAGTATGATTAGAAATGGATTAGAATCACTCACCCAAAGTTTGTAGATGATACTCCCTCTTCAAAATCGCCTCATACCGAGCCTAAGGTTCCAAAATATAAAAATGAGGTTAAAAATCACATCCCTCGGCTTTTGTCAAGTCGCAGGTATCGTAACTGCAACCTGGGTTCGCAAATGCGAAGAAACCATCGCAAAAGCAAAGACCCTTACACCCCTGCTACAGTCGCAAATGCGACATATTGTTCGCAATTGTGAACCAGTGACACATCACAAAAGTGATCAGCATGATCGCAAATGCAAACGAAGCTTACCCAGTCCCCCATCGCAAATGCGAACACTGAGTTCGCAAATGCGAGCCCAACAAACCCGGGCTAAACATCACAATTGCGAGACCTGAAGCTTCTTCACAATAGAATTCTAACTCTATCAAACACTCCGCTACGTGTCTGAAACTCGTCCGAGCCTCTCTGGTGTTTCAACCCATATTCATGTACGTTAGATCATTCCGTAAGTTAGTCGACGTAAATATGATAAGAGATTATCTTTGATATAATAAGAAGTTAATCCTATTGTTTTTAAATTATACAAGGGTATATAAGAGTGGTTAATAATTATTAGAAGTTAGAAGCAAAACGAATCAAGGATGTTGTAATATGTGGGTAAAAATAGAGGTGCTTGATATACTAACGAGGTCGTGTTTTAAGGTACTTGAATCATATAATATCCGTATCATAAGTCTTGAAGTCAAGTGAGTTGTGAAATAAAAGTCCACAAAAGTCGTCACAAGTTACGTTCATAAATTTTAATGAAATTTAGATCAAATGTCAATGATATTTTCTCTCAATGTACTTGGATTATGGGGTTATCCACCCACCAAATTAAAGATTTATGATTATAATTTCCAACGCATTAAACCGTTCGTATATACGATGTTGGAGTACAGATATATTCGTGTTTTTGCGAGACTGCGCAAACAGCTCAGTTGGGACCCACTTGAGACGGTCACCGACCTTACTTCTTTTAAAAGATGTTTGAGACTCATTTCGGGTCATTTCTCACCCAAAATTCGTCCAAAAACTCTTCACAACCTTTTATAACATATCTCAAGATCCCAAAACCAAACTTAAGAGAAATCAACTCAAATCATTATCAGAAGTGTTAAAGACTACAAGAGAATGCTTCTATGATGTTGTGGTGTGATTGAGGACTATTGTGTGTTTCAAGTTTAGCTGTTTTCCAAGGTATGTATAACATCTTCTTGGTTGTGCCTAAGGTTAATCTTGTGTAGTTGTATTGCTTGAGTGAAAAACCATTAGATGGGACATGAAAGAACATGAGATATGGCTATCTTTTTGGTTAGACTATTTTGTGGCTAAATATATGGGTTGTGGTGACTGGAAATTATGAGAAATAATTTTATAATGTTGTGGTTGCCGTTGTTAAGCTTTTCTAGGTGTTAATTAAGTTGATTAAAGAAGAAAACATGAAAAATAAGTGATTGACGATAAAAGCTAAGGTGCTAGGCGTACGAGGCTGTTTTGGAAGGCATTTTGTGGATGTTTTGAACTAGGAATCATATAATACATATAAGTATGATGTTCATAAGGTTGTAAATTAATTTATGGAATAAGAGTTGGATTCAATTTATATTTTGTTATTAGTAAAAATGAGTTTGTCGCTCAATATGATTGTGAAGATAATAAGAGAAGCTCATATTGGATTATATTGTTGTTATTGCTATTGTTGGTTATAGTTGTCGTTGTTAGGCTGTTTGGTAATTGTTTTAACTTGTGGGAAGTCATATAAGCAGGGGAGGTTCTATCCGTTTCATTGTAAGATAGGTTGCAGTTGATGTATACTAGTTACGACGCTTAAACAATAACGATAGTATCATTTCTCTTATTATAGACTAAGGAGTTGTGAGATTTGCATAGCTTGAGTTGGGCAGTATATACAAGGTATGTGAGGCTATCACTTTCCTTCTTTTGCACGACTCCGATAGTACATATTGTAACGAACGAGCTTCCAAAGATACTCCACTCTTAGAAGCTAGCAATACTTACATTATTTCCCTTCTTATGGAACAATCGATGTTGATGTTGCTTCTCTTATTCTTATGTTATCTATATATTTGGTACTTCCTGATTCTTATAAGATTCATGATAAAGAGTTAGTCCCAATAACGTGTACGGAGGTTACCGACCTTACGTCACTCTGAAAGGTTCAGAATGTGATTCCAATGAGTCCAGCATGCATTATATATATGCACCTATTTTACTCTACCGAGTTGCGCTATAGTCGGCCGGGTACGTCACCTATTATGCAACCACTGATCATTTGGGTTTTACCGAGCTCCACGCGGAGATAGCAGACTTACTTTCATAAACTTCTGAATAAAGAGGGGGATTAGAATATTGTGCTAGGCGAGTTGGGGCATTCCAAGAGCCACCGCGATTTTGGGTACTGTAGGTGCATCAAGTTTGGGGAGGTCGTAGGGTCTATGCGTAAGATGATCAGGGGCAGAGCTACCGGGCATGACGAGATTCCGGTAGAATTTTAGAGGTGTGTGGGTAGAGCAGGTTTAGAGTGGCTGACTGGGTTGTTCAATGTTATTTTCAGGACGAAGAGGACGCCGGACGAGTAGAGGTGGAGTACGGTGATTCCGTTGTACAAGAACAAACGTGACATCCAGAGTTGCAATAACTATAGGGGTATCAAATTATTGAGTCATACCATGAAAGTTTGGGAAAGGTAGTAGAAGCGAGGGTAAGGATGATGGTGTCTGTATTAGACAACCAGTTCGGGTTCATGCCGGTTCGTTCTACTACGGAATCTATCCACCTTATTAGGAGGTTGGTGGAATAGTACGGGGATAGGAAGAAGGATCTGCACATGGTGTTTATTGATCTGGAGAAAGCGTATGACAAGGTTCCTAGAGAGGTTCTCTAGAGATGCCTAGAGGATAAATGTATGTCGGTTACTTACATTAGGACGATTAAGGACATGTCTGATGGAGCTAAAATTTGGGATTTAAAGGGCCATTTGGCCTGTTCAAATGTTCAAAAGGATTTAAACCTTTCAGATATTCACATGATGCATTCAAAATATGCTTCATCTCTTC